TCGCCCCAAAGGGGGTCCCCAGACGGGCCCGGGTATGTATTTTGATGCTAAATTCGGCTTTTGCTGCACTGATCCTCCGGATCCCCCCACTCCATGCAGGGTTTGTGCCTGGAGGAAGCAAGCAGGCAATGCCAGTGCTGATGGGTTTCCTAGGAAGGATGGGAGTCCACTACTGGCTCCGTTCTCTGTGGTAAGGCACTCAGTAAGCAAAACTGCAGCAGGGTACAGCTCAGACAGCGTACAGGAGAAGAAAACACCTAGCAAAGCTGCACAATCGGGAGCGGTTAAGCTTGGTGGTGAGTTTAGAGCGGGCTGAGGCTACTGCATGGAAAGGCGAAGCACCAGCACTCCTTGCAACATCCTGGGGACAACAAGGCAACCCAGCAAAGTAACTGCACAGGGGGTGTGTGGCCAGCAGGGATCTTATCCACACCACTGACTTCTCCTGCGTCAGTCCCTGCAGACCAGTAACACCAGTAGTGCTTCTATGTGGGGATCCCCAGGCGTTCCAGCCAGCCATGTGCTGTAAGCATCTCAGGAGGGATCTAAACCCGAAGGTGCGCCGGGCAAGTTACAGCCATGGCATGGACGGTCTCTCCTGGGGTTTTCCATGGCACCCCAGCACTGCTCCTGCACTGCATCCAGGAAAAGAATCCAAATCACCTTCCTCTTCTAATTCTCCACCTCCCTGAGAGGCAGAAGAGCATTTTTGAAAGTTAGCTCTCTTGCACAGCTCCATGCCGGTGGAGCAAAGCCACCGGCCACTGGGAACCGGAGCGCTGAGCTCAGAGCACTCAGGAGGAACTGGTCTCTCCTCCCTCGCTTGACTCCTCCGCTCCCTGCTGTCGCATTCCTGGATCCTGTGAAAGCTGCTGGAAATCGGCTCCTTCAAGAGAAGGTGCGATGTGTCCTTGCCCTTTGTGGAGAGGACGAGTATGGAGAGGTGTTCCCTTTTATCCTTGCCAGCTTAGCAAATCTGAGCCACCTGACAAAAGCTTTTCTTCCCTGCCTTTCACAGACCCCCTGCACCCCCCAGACTCTCACCTGGTGTTTTCAGGGGCTGCCCTAACGTCTTCCAGACCGTCTGGAGGTGGGATCTTGTCCTACACTGTCATCCCTGCAGATCCACAATTCCAGAAATGAAGCGACAGACAACATAAAGGGAGTGGTTTGGGTCACTAGGAACAAAGCCCCTCAAAAAGATGTTGACAGGAAGCCCCTGTCACAGCACATCTCAAGTTCTGGAGCACTGCACGTGCTCCAGTGGGGATGTGGCAAGGGTGAACTCAACAGACTGCATTTGTCAGGGACTTCCAGCAGCCTCTTCTGGACTAATCCACCAACTCCTGGGCTATCTCTGGACTGTGGCTTGGAAGCAGTGACCTCAGGCGTGTTAGCACAGCCACGTACGGAGTCAACCTGCTGGTAACCATCCTACAGCGTGAGGGTACCGCACCATCCCCACCATCTCCGGCAGGAAGCCGGGCGGGAAAGACCGGACCGAGCTGGAGAGGAAAGGGCCTCCTGCGAAACAAAGGGTTGTAACCGCTGCTCCTGGCAAGGCTGCAGGGCAAGGAAGGACGAGATGAGGGCACGAGGTACGAGGTGGCAGATGGTATCGTCATCCTTTTGGAAAAGGCTTTCTCCTTCAATGCAGAGCAGAGCTGGAGGGCTTGCACCTACTCTATCACGGATTCATAGAACAGTTTGGGCTGGAAGAGACCTGTAAAGGTCACCTTATCCCCACACTGTGCGGTGAGCAGGGACATCCTCAACAAGAGCAGGTTGCTCAGAGCGCCGTCCAACCTGGCCTTGAGAGTTTCCAGGGATGGGGCATCCACCACCACTCCGGGCAACCTGTGCCAGTGTTTCACCATCCTCACCACAAAATAAATTATTCTTTTGCCTAGTCCGAATCTCCCCTCTTTTAGTTTAAAACCATTACCCCTCGTCCTATCTCTACAGGCCCTGCTAAAAAACTCTGTCCCCATCCTTCTTACAAGCTCCTTTTAAATACTGGAAGGCCACACTAAGGTCTCCCAGGAGCCTTCTCTTCTCCAGGCTGAACAACCCCAACTCTCAGCCTTTCCTCATAGCAGAGGTGCTCCAGCCCCTGAGCATCTTTGTGGCCTCCTCCATAGGTGGAGCTGCTCCAACAGGTCCATGCCTCTCCTGTGCTGAGGACCCCAGAGCTGATGCTGGCCTTGGTGACAACCACCCTTGCCTCATCCGCTACTTGTCCCATTCTCTGCACGGCTGGCAGAGCACTCCCAAAATAAAGCAGGCGGCTGGATTCCCACCGGACAACCCTGACGGGTGCTTGCGCCGTCACCCCGAGGAGCGGCGAGCTTTAGGGCACAGCCCTGCAGACCTTGTCCCCGAAAAGCGGGCAGAAGACAACCGAGGACAGACTCGTGGGCCACACGAAGATCCGCCGGGCAAGGTCAGTGCCCAGCCACCCTCTCGCAGCGCAGCCAGGGCAGGTTGGGAGATTTCGGGTCTCCCAGGCGGTGCTGAGCCGGGCTGGCCCCAGCTCATTGTGGCTGGAGGAGGCGTCGAGGGCAGCTGACCTTACGTAACTGGAGAACAAAGCGGCTAAATAAAAACTGGAGCTGGGAACGGGCTGCGGAAGTGGGACACGGCTTTCCTGACTAATCAACCCGCATCTGAAGGAAACCGAACTCAATGGCAGGGAAACAACTGCATAAACACATCCCGAGGGAAGAAAGCGGGTGAGAGGAAGCGGGGGAAGACCATGGGGGCATCAGCCCCTTCCACCTCCATCCTGCTGCCTTCGCCGCTCAGGGGGTGAAATGGAGAGCGCAGCACGGAAACCTGCTGTGAGCTCAAGGATTTTAAGGGATGTCCGTGCTCAGTCACCTGCAAGCCACCAAAGGCACCCTCAGACAGGTAGGAGAGGAGGGACTGAGCTGGCTCAGCAGCTCTCCTCCCACTGCCAGCTCTGATGGCATCTCGGTCTGAAGTGGGATGAAAGGAATGGGGCAATTTAACCCCAGGGAGAAGTGCTGGTGCCCTGCAGCATCCCCTCCAAAGGTGCAATAGCATCCTACCACTGAGCGAGTACGGACAGAGCCAAGGTGTGTTAGCTGGGGACGTGTGCTTGGGGAACGCTCCCGTGCACCCCAGTAAAAAACCAGTGACCCCAGAAAGGGGTACATCCTCGCTTTGGTGCCAGCACCTCATGACTTTTGCCTGGGAAGGGCTGTACTTGCAAACACATCCTGCTGCAGGGCAGAGCTTGGGTCCACTAGCTCTCGCTGTACATCACTACCCCAGGATCACGCAGAGACGTAGGGATTTCCATTAGCCACCCTCCTGCTCCAAAAAAAAGCCCCCTCCAACAAAACGACTCGTTTCCAAGAGCCTTTGTTTTTCCAGGCGTAATCCAGGAGGGTCCTGGCCTGGCTGTGACCCCCCAATTCCCCCAGGAGCCAGGGCCCAGCAGCCGATCCATTCTCAGCCCTGGGTGGTCAGAGCCAGACAGGACTGCGGCCACGTCCCTCCGTGCTAAACGTCTGACCTGGCTCCCCTTCCCCTCCCCAACAACGTCTGCCTTTGGGCGAAAGCCAGCGACCCTGCCAAGCTCAGCCCCAAATACATTTCCAGAGAAACCATTTTGCAGTGCGTGACAAGGAAGAGGAAAGCGAGCGAGGAAGCCTCTGAGGACCTGCGTGGGGCAAAGGGAGCTGCGGCCCCAGCGGATCTGCTCAGCGTGGGGAGCGCCAGACTCTTTCCTAACGTTACCCTTGAACAACCGTAGCCAAGTTGCTTTTCCAGATCGCAAACAGGGGCCGCGGCAGCCGTTAGGATCCACGCCATCCTGTGCTATTCTTAGATCATCCACCGGGAAGGAAACCTCAGGCAACCATCGGCGTGAGCCCAACCGCGGCTCCTCGGCCGCTTGGCCAGCGCCGCAGGAGCTGCTCCACCCCGGCGGTCGCGTTTCTGACAGCGGGACGATGGGTGACGCTTGCACAGGGGCTCGGGGAGGCCGCCAGCATTGCAGTGCCCACCCCTCCATCACAGAGCTAAAGCTGCCAGCATGAAACAGGTAGATCTGCAAAACAAAAAACCCACCCCAAACAACCCAAACCCTGAGCTGGCTGCTGGAGCGGATATTTCTGAGCCCAGGGAGGGGCGAGTGATTCAGGATCTTCAAAGAAAACAAAGCCTGGGGAGAGGAAAGCGAAGCCTCCCTCTCCAGCAGTGATTTTGCAAGGCCCCGTGGCTGCGTCCTGCGCCGGGCGCGGTAGCCTTGGCTCGGCCCCCAGGTGGGACTGTGAAACGTGCTTTTGGCTGGGACGACCTGGCCTGGGGAGTACAACAGGGAGGCCCTTAAATAGCAGCAGCAGAGGAGAAGGGGCAGCCAAGCAACTGCAAAGGATGAGCCAGAGACAAGGGAAGGTGGAAAAAACTTCCTGATGTTCCAAGATGATAAATAAAAGGCGCTTTTTTTTTTCCCCCCCTCAAGTGTCTAGAAAATAGAGTTGTTCCTCTCAGTCTCTCTTCTGAGGCCCTACTCGACACCCGGAGCTCCGTAGCAGTTCGCAGCCAATGTGGGCAGCCTTGAAAAGGCAACAAGGGCACAGACTGAACCCTCTACAGATCCATCTACATTCTGGGCACCTGGGCCTGCAGCCAAAATCCTACCCCAAGCCCCTTTCGGAGGCTCTGAGGGCTTTTACAAGGAGAGAAGAGGCTGCTACCAAAGGCCCCATAAAAAAATAAACCAATAAAGACCACCTTCCACACTGGTGTCTGCAGCATCCTGCTGCTACCCAGAGTCCTAAAGCCCCAAAATCATCAGCTAAAACAATAAAAATAAAGACAGACCCCCTGCTCTGCACTATGGCAGATGTGATGCCCAGGCAATGCCAGGTGGGGATGGATATACCGATTTATTACTGCAAAAAGGGCGAATTTGTTACTACCCAGCAAACCTGACGGGTGCCAGCGAGGCACGGAGCCGCGGCACTCACCAGAGGAGCCGAGCTGGCCGGCCCGGGCCGGGACGTGCAGCTCCACGGGACTGGGGCGCACATCGGGGCCGTCGGAGGGACCCAGGCCCTCTGTCTGTCCCGCTGGGGAAGAAGCGATTTCAGCCAGCACTTCCAGGTCCTTCAGGATAACCTGCAGAGAGAGGGACAGCGCGGGGTGAGCGGGCACAGGGCTGGAGGGAGGCGGTGGGGGGAGCTTTCCTCTCCAAACCCACGGCCACGGGTGAGCTTTCCAAAGCCCAGAGCATCAAGAAAGGGATAGGGAAGAGAGCGCTACCCACAAAGTTCAAAGTGGAAATTTCAACTGATTGCAGAGGGGATGGGGCAGGAAGGAGAAAAGGGGACAAAACCCTGCAAGTCCCAAGGGAGCACGTGAAATTAAACCTGATTTACACAATCAGAAGCAGGGCTCGCTTCTCCCTTTTCCCACTTCGGGGAGGTCTGGGCTTTGCTTCCCCACTCCCCTCGGTAACCGCGGATCTGGGACAACCGCAGCATGAGCACGGGGATGCTCTGGGGACAAACATCAGCCTGCTTGCCCCCGCACCCCCAGCTCACTCCATTCAGGGCAGCACCCGGGAGCAGCTTGGCTGCCTGCACTCAGGACGTCACGGCAGAGCTGCCACGCGGATTTCATAGCTCTCTCCTTCCAGAAGCCGCCGAATTAGTCTATATATAGCGTTTCTGCAGAAGTTATTATAGGGTGGGTCGGGTTTTTTTTTTCCATCCTCAACCCTTCTCATGTCTCGGGCTATTTTGGGTCCCCCTTCGTTCGAATGTCCTTGGGGCTCGATGTTTCATCAGCCGTCGCTGACGGTCTGAGCGAAGCAGGGCTGTGCAGAGCAGAAAGGCTGCCAAAAAGGGTCGACCGCCACGTCGAACCCATCAGCATCAAGCACAGCGCATCCCCGACCACCCTCTGCCCACCATGACAGCGTCCCAGGCTTTGCACGTGTTCCCACGATGCATCTTTTTGAGGAGCTGCTGTTATCTGGGAGCTTTAGCTCCTGAGCTACCAAAAAAACCCCTTACGCCTGAAAAAAAAAGCCAAATACGTCTTCTTTTGATCACACAGAACTTGAAAACATGATCCCTGAAAATCACGAAGAGGAGCCCCTGGCTTTCTCTGTTGCAGAGATCCGAAGCTGGTTTAGTATTTTTGTAACTGGGGCTGGTTTTTAAGCCCCCAGCAGCCTTTGAGCAGGCAGCGATGTGTCCAGGCTCCGGTGCAGAGCTGGCCGTGGGGAAGCAGCCTGCCAACACGCTTGGGAAGATCCTGCGCCTATAAACACGATTAAGTCCCAGCCCACGGCTCCTCCGGGGCGCAAAAAGCATAAGACAACAACAAATGGAGCAATGAGGAGCTATGATGCTGCTGTCCCCAAAGAATACGGCACCTCTGTGGTGCTGCCAAAGATGGGAGCTCATTGCCGCCATGGGACATCACTGCCATCGCCAGCCTTCATCTTCTTCCAGGGATGGGAGGCTGTGGTCCCTGGCAGAGGAAAGAGCTTGTTCCTTCCCCTCCACCCAGCTTTTTTTGGGTAAATCAATGCTGGTGGTGGCTTGTTTCAAGCAGAGGATGGCTCTGGGTCTCTTAAATGCTGTTTCTTAAAGCCCTGTGTAGGTTCTCTGGTGGCTAACCATGCAGCTCAGCTAACTTGCAGCCTTCGAGTGGGGGAAGGCACTAATCTGGGTCTCAGGCTCTCACAGCTGGGGAAATCTCACCTGTGGAGGCTCCCAAGTCTCACTGTGTTTGGCTAAAACTGGCAAAGAGACTCAGGGCTTGGCTACTGGGGCTGGCAACCAGGCGAGGGCCAGGACTCTTGGGCATGCTATTGATTTCGTTGAACCCAGCACGTGTGCCAACACAACCACAACGATGTACCCTGCCATGCCAAGGCCGTGTCGACCCATGGCTCTTGTATGGCACGAACCAGCTCCCGTGATTGCCACCCTGCTGCATTTGCTGCTGCCACAACCCCCCATAAAGCCCATCCACAGCATCAGGAAACAGGACCAAGACCCTGGGATAGGCAAAAATCACCCCTGCTGCCTCCCAGAGCATTTAGAGCCATGTTTTATCCCATGAGGTGGGATCCTTGATCCAGTCTCCCACAGCCGCGTGCTGAGCCCCATCTCTGAGATGCCTCTTGGGCTTGGGATGCTCTGGCCAGGCTTGACTGGCACCACTGAGGGCATGGTTGGACCTCTCGCACTCTGGAGAGGTTAAGGGCTGTTAGCCCAAGCCAGCCGTGTAGGTCACAGGCTGGAGGTGGAAAAAACCAGCGCAGACTGGGTTTTGCAATTGAAAAACATGGAGGAAACAAGAACCGGGAGGGACGGGCACACAAACACCCGGAGGAGCAGGCGGTTGCAAAGAGCCGGGGTTTTCCAGCCGTGGGAAAGGAGCAGGGAGCTTCGGCTCCTGCTGCTGCTTCCCTGCATGCTCCGGAGTGGGTTCCCAGCTGGGGACGGAGGGAAGCCAGGAGCGCTTGGTATGCACCGCACATCCCCGTGCAAAGCAAAGCCGGAGCCGGCGGCTGGCTTTGTGCGAGCGAGGAGGCTGTAAGAAAGCAATATCCTGCCATTGCCATGGCAACAGGCTGGCTGCGCCAGGAGCGAGCCGGTCCCATCCGTCAGGAGCCGAGCGGCCGCTGGACCCGACAGCACCGGGCGCGATCCCCATGGCCACCGAGCAGCCACCGAGGACGTTTTCCCAGCCCATGATGGATCTCCGTGATTTTTGCGAGCGGGGATGAGATGTAGGGCAGCGTGCCCCTGCTCTGGGCGAGTGCGGGGCTGGTTAGCGTGAATGGGAATTGGCAGGGAAAGCAGCATCGCGATGGATGGGGAGACCCGGCTGGGGCCCTTCATCCCAGCACGGGGGTGAGAGGCATCCCGGGGGGGTCCTTGCACGGCCAGGGGACGAGGAGCGGGTTATTGGGCAGTTATAAATAAAAGCTGTTATAAATCAGCAGCTATTTCTCCTCCCTAGGAAAAGGCAAGATTTCTCCCTGCATTGCCTCCAGAGCACGGATTTCGAGGGCACACGAAACCGTCGGTCTCTCTGGCTTCTCCAGATCTAGGTCAGGTTAATTTGCCGCTTGTTCTGGTTGAACGGAGCAGAGACCAGCTCTGCCCGCGGCGACGCAGGGGAAACGCAGCCCCCGAACAGCGTGTGCCGGATGGGATGCACTTCCTGCGTGCAAAGCATCCCTTTGATGCTCCTGGGGAGGAGTTTGCCTTGGGCTGGCCCTGGCCTGTTGCAGACGAAGGGGAGGTGACCCCAAATCCACTGCAGAAATCTGGGGAGCAAGACCTAGAGGGTGGGTATTCCCTGGGGCACAAAACACCAGGGACAAGGTTATTCCTGCCAAGGAGAAGATGAGAATTCAGCTGAAGCAAGATGCTACCACGATGGAAAACAAGAGGGTTAAGGGCTGCAGAGCCCTTGTTCAAAGGAGACCATGAGCAGGGAGGCTGTGGAAAACCCCACGGCATCACCAGGGTCAGCAAGGCAGGGGGAGGAGGAGCGACCTGGGGGGCACCAGGAAAGCTGAGGATGCTGCTGGGTGCTTCCTCCTGTCCCACCACTCGACCGCAGCCCCTCACCGCCACAGCGCGCACTGAGGCTTCCCCAGAGGCTGCATTTATTTTAATTCTGTTTTTTCTCCCTCCAAACCTTTTCGCCGTAGCCAGGGAGGGGAAGCGAGCACGGGGGGCAGTCCTGGAGCCAGGAGCGGCCAGCAGCGAGCCTGGCCGAGCCCCAGACACGCACGGTGTGAAAAGCAAACTCGCATCCCCCCCTGCCTCCGCCAGCTTTAAAGGCAGAAAAGGAAAAGAAAACCCTCCATTCATCTTCCCACACCAATTTAACCAGACCTCTTCACAGGTCCCCGCCACAGCAACTTTTATCCTCTGATCTGGCCAAGACCTCTCTGTTTTACAGCGGCTGGATTTCAGCCTGTGGCCGGGAAGAGATGGGGAGCAAAGGGAAGGCAGCGGGGCTGGGGGCTTCTCCTCTTCTCCCCGGGGCAAATCCTGCTCACAGCATCACCAAATACAGCAGGCAGTGTGGGGGTCACTCAGTTACACGGGCACAGCCACCCTAAACCAAGCTGCAACCTGAACATTTCCCATCCTCCCTCCTGCTTTTGCAAATCCCGTCTGTCTGTGCGAGGGTCAGGCCTGCAGCAGCCCGAGCCGCAGGGACCACGAGCGCTGTCACAGCTCAGAGCACCTCTTTAAGTGTGTTTAATGAGCGTACAGGGAGCTTAACATGCCGCCACCTGATGTCAGACGCAGGGATGCCAACGAGGTATTTCTTCAGGCGTTACGGGGCAGGACAGGTCCAGCCAGCGGGACAGAGCTGGAGGAAGCCGGAGCTGCCCCAGAGCATCCCTGTGGGCCACGCTGCAAGGGGCTGAATTCCTGCAACCCCTTCCAATTCAGCCCCCAGAGTCCCAGGGCTTATGACAGGAGAAGGGTTTGCTTGTGTTTGCTGCCCTGTCTCTCAGAAAAGCCAACGGCATCTTGGCCTGTATTCAAAACAGTGTGACCAGCAGGGCCAGGGAGGTGATCATCCCCCTGTCCTCGGCACTGGTGAGGCCGCACCTCGAGTGCTGTGTTCAGTTCTGGGCCCCTCACTAGAAGAAGGATGTTGAGATTGTGGAGCGTGTTCAGAGAAGAGCCACAAGGATGGGGAGGGCTCTGGAGAACAAGCCTGATGAGGAGCGGCTGAGGGAACTGGGCTTTTTGAGCCTGGAGAAGAGAAGGCTGAGGGGAGACCTCAGCACCACCTACAACTGCCTCAAGGGAGCTTGGAGAGAGGTGGGTGCTGGGCTCTTCTCCCAGGTGATGGGGGATAGAACAAGGGGAAACGGCACCAAGCTGTGCCAAGGGAGGTTCAGGTCAGAGCTAAGGAGGAAGTTCTTTACTGAGAGGGTCGTCAGAGGCTGGAACAGGCTGCCCAGGGAGGTGGTGGAGTCACCATCCCTGGATGTGTTTAAAGAGCGGGTAGACGAGGTACTTAAGGATATGGTTTAGGGGGTAGACAGGAGCGGTTGGACGGGATGATCTCAGAGGGCTTTTCCAACCGAGCGATTTCGTGATTCTGTGATTCCCCTCCGGAACCTCCTGCTGCACCCCAGGGAGCTGAACACCCAAAGCCAAGCTCACCAAGTCCTGCACCCTACACCTTCACCCTACATCTTTGTCGCAGCCCGAGCTGGCTCGTGGGACAGGGACTGCCTGTCCTCCGCGGCAGACAGGTTTCCTGTCCTTTTAGTCTGCTCCACGATTTCACTCAGAAACAAGCACCTTCTGGAAACCACCCTGAGCCCAGACTACCAGTTTGCCACCAGTTGTTCAGGATATGTATAACCTGTGTATGCATATGTACACGCTACCATGCAATCGTGGTCCAAAACCGGTGCCAAGCCAAGAAGCAATCGCGCTCCCCACAAGAAACTCCCTATTCTTGCGGGATGCAATGCACGGATCAGCTTTCAACCCAGCGCCCTTGCCAGGTCTTGAGACCTTGGAGCACGCAGCACCCCACCCTGCCGCACAGCTTCTGCTTAGGGGCTGCGTCCATGCATGGCAAGCTGGGCTGACCACGCTGTCCACCATCCAACTGAAATTACAGACCTCTCTCTACACCCCACCATTTCAGCCCTGAGCTCACCCTCAGCCTAACTCGCTTCTTGAAAGTGAGCAGCCTTCCTGCTTCGGTACCTTTGTAGGTAGCTTTGAGTCGCTCTCCAGAGAAGGCTTACCACCAAAAAGAATTAAAATAAAAGCCAAGCACACGTACATGAGAGTTCACCTCTTTGCAGCCTTTGGTTCACACCTTCTGCTTTGCATGGAGTCACAATGTTTCGGCTGTGGCGAATTAAAGGCTGGGAGCTGGAGCACAAGGGCTCTAAAAGCAACAGCACAGAGCCCCAAACCAAACCACGCTAAGACAGCTCTGTGCTTGGGCACGAGCTTTTGTCCAGCTTCATTGTACTGGGGATTGGGCGCGATGGGAGAAGTTTGCCAGGATTTAGTGGGACACCAGAGCTCAGAGCAGGACCGAGACTCGGGCTTCAGGTAAAACATTTCAGCTTGGCATGAAGGAGCTGGCTTGAAGGTCATGCAGATGTTCAGGTCCATCACTACCTCCACAGGCTCAGCTGAACCTCTTTAGGGAAGGGCACCACCATTTGGCCAGGAGCTGAAGGATGCTCTAGGAGACACTGCTGCAAACAGCAAGCTAAGAAATCATTTGGTTCTTCTTGCTGTATTCAAAGCCTTGCCTGGCTGCTGCATTAACACAGGTAGGTTTCCACGTTAGCAGGGTCAAGAGGAAGCCGGAGTCTATCCTGCTTCACATCAGACACCAGCTCCACCTCATGCGTCACTGCTGCATGAGTCACACAAAAGTCCCAGCACAACTTCCAACCCCCAGCAAGATTGAGAGGAGCAGATAAGCAAACACGAACACGTTCAGTTGTAAAGAAACAACTCTGTTTTGGAGCTGGAGAAAGGAAATCAAAGCAAAGAAAGAGAACCAGCAGCATTGCCGCTCCGTGGTTTTCTCAGAGATGCCCTTACTGCCTGTTGCACCTGCCCAACCTCACCAGGTCCGGCCTGGAAGGACCCAGGGAACTGAACAGCAACATCAGAAGCTGCCTTTGCACCAGGAGCTTGCAGAGGGAGATAACCCGAAGAACAGGTCTTCTTTTGAGCAATGCTGACCAGCAGCGGTGCTGTCAACCTGCGGATGGCAAGGTCCGACCCACTGCTTGGTCTTTGACTTTCCACCTTTTCTACCATCAATTCTTGAGCCAGGTGTCAGGGCTGCGAGGCTCACACTGACAAATGGAGCAGCTTGTGCAGAAAAGCCCATTCTCAACAGGATCCTGTCAGTCTTGGAGCTGGCAAGGAAGTTTTTAAGCACATGAAATTTTAACCAGGGCTTTTAAAGACTGCCTTCAAAACCAGGTCTCAAACGCGGGACGGAGCACCTCCCCGCGGGGGAAGCACGGGAGCTGGCACAAGGCGACGCAGTGCAGCAGCACAGCGCCTGCCAGCCAGGAATCCTGTGTCCCGACTTGTCTACATATCAAAGGGAACTGCTTGCTTCAGCTTCGCTCCAACTTCTCCGAGCTGCCTTTGTGAATCTTAACTAAGTCTCCTGACCATTTCTGCACTGGCGCAGGAGAACCGGGTAGGAAGGGGAGCGGGAGGGAAGGCAGAGATGACTCAGGACACCGCAGATGCATCATGAGATACTGGCCCCTGTTCAGCACGGTGGAGGTGGTGCAACACCTCGTGAAGGATAAAACAGGCGTGACAACTTAAAGGGCATGGATCCAGCTCCATCCAGCACATCTCTCTCCCTGCTTTGGGCTCGATTATTGATGGCAGGAGCACAGAGAGACTCAGAGCAGCTTGGCAAGACCAGACGTCAAAAACGATGAGCCTGGGCACCATCCTTCAGTTTGATGCAAAGCCCTGACCCTTCAAAGCCAGACTCTCCTTTGGTGACAAGCTGGTGACAAACAACTGCTCCAAGACAGCTTGATGGCCTATCAGGAGAGTGATAGCGAGCCTCCAAACCACACACGAGGGCCAGGGGTTCTGCAGGCACTGCAAAAGGATGCTCAACCTTGCTGGGAAGAAAGATGGTACCGGTACTGCTGCCCAGCCACGTTCCCTTGGCGAGGGAAGCATCACGGGATGGAGCAAGCAAAAAAAACCCTGAGAAAGTGTGCACACCCTTGTGCTGCACCATACAACACACGGAGCCCACCCTGGAAAGGGGTCACACAGGACCCCACGCTAATCCAGCGATTCCCAGGCCGGTGGCCAAGAGCTTTTGGGGATCCAAATCTGCTCCAGGACAACACAAATGTGCACACAAATACTGTACTGAGCAGGGAGTGAAGGCTGAGAGAGCATCCCCATCCCCTCTTCTAACAGGCACTGACACTGCAGGTTAGCTCGCTCAATCTGTCCTCATCGTTCCCGAAAATGCCCAGCTCAAAAACCCCCTGCTATTTCAGTCATTTCTATTTCCTCTGCAGAGAGCAGCAAATCTGGTTGGGAGCCAGATGAGCAGTGGTGTTTAATGGATTGACTCGTCTATGGATTTCCTTAAAAAAAACCAACCCAAAACCAACCCAACCCCAAACCTGCAAACATTTAAATAAATAGAAAACGGGATTAAATAAATCAGCTTAAAATTACTTTCGAGCCATTCCCAGTTATGTCACATGGAGGAAATGCATCACCAGGGTCCTTTCTTCACTGCTTTTTTCAAATATTAATAAGCAGTGTAATTGCAACATGACTCACTGCGATCTCCTGCCAAGCTGGAGGGACTATCTGCAAGATGCAGGCTTTCTAGAGCGTTGCAAAGGCAGATGTGTGCTCGGGGACTCTTTTGGAAAGGTTTGTGTCGTAAGCAGCAGGGTATGGAAAATGGCCAGGCGGCCGCTTGCCTTTGCAAGCGCAAGTCATCCCCTTGCTTGCTTTTTCCCCGTCCCTCCTCTCGTAGCAGCCCCCTCGCACACGGGACTCGCTGCAGGGTTGGGGTTTGGTGCCCTGACCACGGCGGGCGCGTGATTCCTATTCCACGAGGAAAGTCTGGGCTGAGAAACCCGCCCGGATCACTCGCAGCTCTGGGCAGGAGGCATCCAGCTGATGGTAGAAGCGCCACCAGGGCCTGGGCCAGCTGCCAGCCTCCCACCCGAGCGCTAGAAATGCTCCAGGGCGCAATGGAGAGGAGGAGGAGGAGGAGGAGGAGGAGAAGACAAAGACGCCGAAATCGAGATGACTGGAACGAGAAGAGACGGGTGAGGAGGAAAGACAAGGAAATGGGAAAATGGTGCAGGACCCGGGGAAAGGAGCAGCCTTGGAGGCGAAGAGCACTGTGCTGGGATGACAAGGAGCAGGCAGGAGGGCGAAGGCAGAGCAAGCTCACTCATCCCTGCCTTTTTTGCTCACTTCCAAGCTGAGTGGTTCCCAGCCAACCTGATGGCCCCGCAAAGTTGATGCAGAGAAGACAACCAGACAACTCCCACCTAAAGCACAGCTCCCCCAGGGCTCGGGGCAGACGTCCCCAGGGCACGCACCATGAGGTAGTGTCTGATCTCCGAGTTGGAGGACACTGGAAGGGGCTAAAGGAAGAAGCATAACCCAGAGCCTGAGCCGCAGAGGTCTGAGTGATGCCGGGGGTGGAGGAGCAGCTCTTGGGCAGCTACTGCAGCCCCAGGAGGCAAGGCTGACACTGCCCTGCTAGCAGTGGGCACTGCTTAACCCCCTCAGGACTCAGATTTTGCAGCACTGGCCAGACACGATTCCCTTCGTGTCTCTAAAGAGTTGTTACAAGGCACCCGAATTCCCACTCACCAAGGGCCCGACCACCACTCAGCCCCGTGGGGAAGACATCAACTCCGGGAGCTGAAATCACAGCCGTCTTCCCAGCTAGGCAAAAAGGGTTTTTAGGAGTAGGCATTGAGGGATCAGCTCTCAGAGATGGAGAGGAAGGTTTATACAGACAGAGGGTCCCAAACACACCAGGGTTTTCAGCTGGGCAGCTGGCTCTGCATGGGGCCTTCTTCAGTTTAGCCAACAGGGTTAAGCTTCTCAGTGCCAGCACCAGCCGAGCCTCACAAAATCCCTCAGTTCAACCCAAAAAATCCAAAGATGTGGAGACAGCAAGCTTTCAGGAGGGCTTCTGCAGCAGCACTTACCTCATCTGACTCATCTGAGAGGGTCCGCAGCAAGATGGGGAAGAGGCTGTCGGTGTGTCGGAACATCTACAACCAGAGAGATGGGTGGCATCAGTCCTACAGGCACGGTCACCGCTGCCACAGGACCCCTAACCACAGGGCAGGCTGCTGAAAGCTTCACCAGCGTTTTCCACTTGAGCTGGAGAGTTCTCCCTTAAGTTACTGGGTATCCAGCAGCCAAAGCCTTCTCAGAAAAGGCAGGTGGACACTTGGTTGTAATTATCTTGCTACCAAGGTAATTACAGCCAATTCAAAGGCTGGGAGCAGGCAAGTTCAGTCCCTTGGAGGAAGCAACAGGCTTGCACACTGAATCTCTGACCTACCTTACGAGGAGTCTTGATGTACAAGTGGTAAAGCCATTTCAGGACTGCGATTCTGGTCATCATCCCAATGGACGTGTCATGAAGGTGGCAGTCCAGCACCTGAACTATGCCATCCAGGTTCAGGGTCACCTGGATCCTGTCAGAGCTGCATGGGAAGGAGAGAGAATGGCTCAGTGCTGCGATGTCCAACTTGCTCCTCACACAGTGGGGAGGTCTACACCACACCAGGGGCTGCATCAAACAGCTCAGACCCTAAGAAACCTCAACCCTTGGCCTGCTCCTGCCCCACTCACACTGGCCACGTCCAGATCTGCTCATGGCAAACCCAACAACTGTGCTCACATCTTCAGGAGTTAAAAGAGCCGGGAAGCGAGCTCCAGGCTTGCAAGCCCATAGGTAGCTTCTGACTGGCACTACGAGATGGGGAAGCACAATGAGACACAGCAACGCACCAGAAACTCGCTCTGAAAACAACAGAAATGTTCCAGGCTTCGAGGTTTACCGCTTCCCCCAAACAGATGGTACCTAGGCATGACAAGACACCATGCCAGATGAATCCAGCACCACGGCTGTATTGAGAAACTGGTCCACATTGCAGTCACCAGGTTTGGGGTTCAAAGACTACAGATCCCCAAAATGCACTCTGAATCCAGCTCAAGTTTGACCAGCTCAAGCATCAACCCACAAGTCCTCAAACTCCACCTGCTAGGCCCGTTCAGTCAGGTGAGGACATCCAATCTCTGTGAATCTCAGATGAGACCTGCAGATGGTGCCCTGGCTGGTGGTGCCCTTTGGGACGCAGCTCTGTTCTGCAGGGCTGCCTTAGGAAAGTTATCTTGGTTCCCAGAAAAAGAGGATAACCTTTGGTCGTCAACCAGGGATCAAAATAACAACTCCCTTAGTTCATCAAGACATTGCCTTTTGTAACAGGGATGGTTTCCAGACCTTTAGCTCTACTGTGGTAAAAAACTCGCCAGTTTTCCCCCAAATAGTTGGGACCTGCATTGGGACGGGAGACCCCAATACACAAGAGGTTATGCGACAGCATTTTTCGGTTCTATTTGGGATCCTGAAGTGTACCTAACGGCTTCCCATGTCCTCAGCATCAAGGGGGTGGGAAGAGCCTGTCACAGGAGACCAGGTTAAGGAGCGATGGTTGGAGCTGAGAGGGCTGCAGCAGAGGTGGTTGCAGCAGACTTCCAGGAGGGAGCTGTGCTGAGAGCTGAGCGCTCCCGTCCTACCGAAGCTAATGAATTATTCAAGGCTGGACCAGACTCTCGCAGAATTTTCTAGCGCGCAGGGCTGCTCTGCATCTCGTTTGATAAGAAATCCTAAGGGGCAGATTTCTCACGGTATAATTCGCAAGAAGAGCTGCGGCTTAACAGGATTTGATCTTCCCCGGGACACGCGTCGTGAGGGCGAGACGAGGAGGCTGCGGCCCTGCACAGCCCTGCGGGCGTCTGCCTGCTTGATCTGCCTCACGTAACAGATGCTGGGGTCTGCAAATTGCATTTCCAGTTGGACTAAGTTGCGCTTTGATGTCGCAAACAACCGCCGAGGGCCAAACGCTCGGACGTGCAGAACCGAGGGGAAGGAGGGACCCAGAGCGCGGGTTGCTTGGCAGAGGGGACATCCACGGGAGCAGCATCCCAGGCGATGAAAGCCACCGTACACCAACCCTGTATGTGGTTTTACTGCAGAGAAAGCTCCCGCTGCAGCGGTGCAGCCAGGCACCCAACCAGCACAGGGCTCCCAACGCAAGAGGGGCACGAATCCTCAACCCAGTTACATCTCTACACCGAAATACACACAGCCTGCACAGGATGGGGGAAATCCCTCAGGGTGACTCACAGTTTCAGAGGGAACCTGCACACGAAGCTGGTTGGCTTGGATGTGGCCTTGATGCTGTCACATCCACCAGCTCCGTGCTGCTGCAAGGACGTGGGGTGGCATCGTTAGAGCAGGACGCTGGACTTCCCCCAGCACAACGAGCAGCCATTTCCAGCCCAGCTTATGCCAAAATTGCTCGTGAAAACCCCTTTCCCAGCGATGCAGCACCCACACAGGACTGGGCTGGGGTGGCTCAAGCCAAAATCCACCCAAGCTGAGCCCAGGAGGTGGCTGGCAGTGCCAGGCTCACCCCAAATCTGCCAGCCCCGGCCTGTGCCATTTGCTACCACCCTGCAGCTCAATCTCCGCTAAAAGGGACGGCAGCCGGGCAAAGCTCCTTGCTGGCTCCATGCATCTGCCCAGATAAACCTTTTTAGGGGGGTTGCCAGCTGAGAAGCAGCACGTTTACTCAGCACAAAAGCAGGGCATCACCTGGAACGGCAAGAGGTCCAGTGAACATGTGAGATTGGGCTAAAAATCTCCCACCATCCATGCTCCTCTGCCTCCGAGATGAAGCAGCACCAGATTCCTGTGGGTTTGTGTCTTTCCAGGGAGAAGGCAGCAGTCGAGTGCTGCCATAGCTGCAGCTCTGGAGCGGGCTCATAGCTCGCCCTGGCTCTGTTTAATCCCCAGGCAGCCCGGCGCGGGAGCAGGGGTAATGGCATTGCGTTAATGCGATCCTCTGGGCCTGCCACGCCGGCTCCCAGCGCCGGCATCTGTGGCCGGGCAGATGTCAGATGCAATTGCTTCCATCTAACCCACTACCCCAGATTCTGCTTCGGAGGATGAACGCGGCATTGGCGCTGCCTCCGTGGTTCGCCTGTGACGGCGAGAACGTGGCTTTAGGGGGAACTGAGCAACGATGGGGGTTGTGCCAGGCTCTCACCTCTGGATACTCGTACCTTCCGCTTGAGCTGACTGGTGGGGCGTGAGACCCCCTCCCCAGCACGTCCCCCCATCTCAGAAAGCATCCTCCAGCAGGGGAACAGAGCTGTTTCCCACTGCGTTCAAGCTTCAACGATGTTTTTCACCCTGTGTCCCTTTATCAGCTCATTTTCTCATTTCTCCCCTTTCTTCAAGGGCTTCTGCCATCTCTCTCCTCAGCAGTCGCCTCTTCTCTGCCAATGCCTGAGCTGTCATCTCCCTCCTGGCCTCCTGCCTGGCCCAGCTGCTTTCCTGACCCCATTTTCAGGCAAGGTTAAGGTCTAGGCCAGGCTCTAGCCTTTAAGCAAGCCCAGCAGAGTGGCCTTGCCAAGGGTGGAAATATCCAGGTTCTTTCATTGTGGTCCAAGTCACAAGGGCAGCTCCCATACGGGCTGGCAGCTGTGCCGCTCAACGGGCCCGAGCCAGCGGCCAGGAGGTAAATAGCTCCTCTCTGCTCTTGGTCCCACAAGCTGTCGCTCTCCCGTCCTCCATCGCTCTCCTTTCGGTGCTCTTGGCTTCCTCCTGCGTACCGCGGCTTCCAAGTACTGGAAGTGCCCGCAGTACCAGCGTGAGCTGCTCTCCCGGTGATGAGGTTAAGGTCTAGGCAGGGATATCCAGTCCAACGAGCTTTAGATCACCACAACAAGGGCTGGGGCAGCGTGCCCAAGGTCCCCCCACTCCAGCTCCTCCATCTGATGGCACCGTAGGAGGTGGCGAACCCTTCTACCTAGGGAAAGGAACCTACCTCCTCACTCCAGGCTGGAGAAGAGGGCCAGGAGAAGCCTTCCAAGAGGACAGCCAGGACCCAAAAGCTGAGGCAAGGCAGACTCCACCAGACACGCTGCTGGATGGGACTCCAGGGCAGGTTTGGTGCCGGAGTTCAAAGCAAGCCACGGTGCCGCATTCGGCCAACATCCCTGGGTGCTGCGGGGTACCCAGCATCACCGCTACCCTGCACCCGAGCGTTCATCACCTCAACGAGCTCCCCAGCTGCTCCCTGAAGGTGCCAGGCTCTGGGCACGGGGCTATGGTGACTTCCAGCGCCAGACAAGCAGCAGG